TTTGCGCCGTAAGAGACCTCCTGTTTAACATGGTTAATGATAATAGCTTACACCAACAGATACTAGAATTGGCACATCTTATCTGTTATAACTCTTTTTTCCAATTCAACGGGATCACGTACGGCCAAGGAAGAGGCGTCCCCATGGGTAGCCCCATCGCAGGGGACCTATGCGAAATAGTGGTCAGACAATTAGAAGATATAGTCATCCCTCAATACTCACCTAACATCTTACTATATAAACGATACGTGGATGATATTCTCATCTTATGGAGGATTGAGCCGGATGTTTCAAGGTTCGTTGATTCGTTCAATGATAATCCATACGGCCTGACCTTAGAGATCGATCAAGCTCACGCTTCTGAAGCCCATTTTCTCGACATCAACATCAAGTTCGAACAAACAACTACCCGTACAGAAGTGTACCGGAAACCAGGGGCTGAGCATCTATACATTCCAATAGGATCGTGCGATCCACCGAACTATAAAATGGCAGCCTTCAACGCCTTAATTAGGAGAGCATACTCGCATTCATCGGATCGGATATCCCTACATGCCGAACTAAGACATATTGAACAAATAGCCAACGAACATGGTTATCCCAAGATCGTACGTAAATTGATCCGCAAATGGCGCTGCCGAGAAGTAGCCCTTAACCAAGCACCCAAGGAAGTTCCATCTAACATCATCCCGGTTACATACAATCCGTACCTGAAATCAATTTACAACACAATAGCGAAGAAAAAGAATATTCGCATCGCGTATAGAAGATGCGCCACAATTTTTGACATTTTACGGAACGGGAAAGATACCCCAAACAAAGAACGACGCCCAGGGGTATATACCATCCCAATGATTGATCATAGATGGAACAGAAGCCTGATATACGTAGGATCCACTAAGCGCTCCTTAGAGGTGAGAATTAAAGAACACATGGCGGATATTCTACATGCAAGGCAAAACACCGCTCTTGCCGTCTATGCCTCGGATACGGAAATAGAACCGTTATTCAGCCAGGCCAAGGTAATCCGCACTACAAAGTACACACACCACCTTAGATGGCTAGAGGCCCTGTACATATGTATGGCTACGCTTAAAGACGACAATTGCATTAACAACAAAGACGAGATCATCCTGTCAACTGCATGGCAGGTGCTCGTAGACAAAAAGTTACGTTAATTTAGAACCAGCGAAGGGGCGCATGCGTCAATGACGCCAGCGATACGTACGAGAAAATTCGTAATGATGTTCTTTTTTCAATCAAATTTGAATGGCGTTCGCTTGGACATGTTACCTGAGGAAGAACTTAAAGTTCGAAAGCGCTAGTAATACTTCGTTTACAGAGAAGCACACCGGAAACAGGTTCATTGTACGTTGTTTTTTGATTATTCTATCCCGGTGTAGTGCAGTGCCGATTTAATTAATTGAAAATTACATTATGTGTATGTATTCAGATGTATATTATGCAATTTATTAGACATTGATGTAACTTGTAAACTTGAGCTAATTCTGGTTTTTTATAACCATTTTTGAATTCAGCAAGTTAAAATCATTAAGAAACATCTTGTTTTGTTTCCTTTGGAAACAAAAAGTTTTTATTTGTAGACCTGCGAATTATTAATGAACCTGATGAGAAAGTTTGTGAAAAATGACAGGGTCACCAACAAGCAGTTTCTAAAAATAGCTTTAAATGCTAATGAAAACTTGGTATATCTGAAGAATTTGGATATTGGTTTTGGAGAAAAAGGTTTTAAAAGAATTGAAAGTAAGTAACAAAGATATTCTTTGTTTTCTAAGTGATTGTCAATATGTGCTGACACAAAAAATTATTGAGAAGGGACCTGTCAAGTACAAATGTCTGAAGGCTTTGAGCAGTTTAGATCCAGAAATTATTGAAATGCATCAAATGTTGGAAAATTGTATTTCAATATTTTTTTATTAGAAGTTCTACATGATACAAACAGGATTGATGAGAAATGTGCTGTTAAAGCAAAAGAACAGTATGATATACTCTGCAATAAAGTGTCCATAAAATCCTATTCGACAAAGTTTAAGGACTTCATATCTAAAAGGAGTGATGATGATGGTCTGGACACATTTTATTGTGAAATATGAAGGATGATAGGAAACTGCAAGGTCTATTGTCTATTATCAAAATTTTTCTTTCTTTCTTACATGGGAATGCAAGTGTTAAGAGTGGTTTCTCAGTTAACAAATTGAGTGAAAATCTTAAGGAAAAAAATTTAGTTGCTCAATGCATAGTTTATGATGGGATCCATTTTGCAGATGGTATTGATCAAATAAATATAGACCAGAAAATTTTGTTAACAGTTAGAGGATCTAGACAGCGATATATTGCATCTCTGCAACAGAAAAAAAGAAATTCAGAAGCAGCAAGCATTTAGGGCTGAAGAAAAAAGAAAACTTACATAACAACTTAAGGATTTAAAACAACACAAGAAAATGTTAAGAAAAGATCATGAAAAGGAAGAAAAAGAGATTGAAATGAAAATAAATACACTTGAGGAGAAAAAGCTAAAACTATATTAATATAATAGTTCTTGTGTTTTGTGAATTGTAATTAATTTTTTATTTTCTAATTATCTGTATTTTGAAAAGAGAGAATACTAAGAAGTTTCTCTATATTTTGATTGCCCATTTTGTAAAAAATAAAAAGATTTTACAATAAATTAGATGCATTTGTTAGAGAAGCTATAGTATAAACTTACACCTATTCCTCTTTATATACAATTTATTTTTATGCAATTTTGAAATAATGTGGTTGACAAAAGAAAATAATTTTTTTTTACATGATTGATTTTTTTACAAGGGAAAAATGTTTTATTTGAAAATTCTTAAATTTAACTTTTTATTAAAATTATGCTGCTGTTTAAAAAAAGTTACTCTTTTTGTTGAAAGATTGGTTTTAAAATTACGTGTTTCTAAGTTAAGAGTTCATTTTAAGCACAGTACAGTACTATTTGTATATCAAAGAATACTGTTTGTTGATTTTATGCTACCTTGTATTTACTAGATTTACATACAAATAATAATGATAAATGATGATAAAATAAAAAGCTCATGTTTTATTTGTAAATTGCTTATTTTTTTCATTTCATTGAAGTTGTGGATTCTATCAAACATTTTTCTACAGGATATATATACTGTATTTGTTTAATGTGACAGTCTTTGAAACATATCAACTGTGATAGATGTACTCAATGTTTACAGTAAATAAAATGCTGTTTTATTATGTTGATATTCTACACCTTAAGTAATGTAAGGGCCAGGGAATTTGGACAAAGTTGGTCAGGAAAATCAGGGAAAGTCAGAGAATTCAAAACAAAAATTTGAGTAGGAACCCTGTATAAAAAATAAAAAATAATAAAAACATAATAACTTGGAAGAAAATGTGTTAAGTTAATTTTCTGATTTTTAAATTTATATGCTTTAAACAATTGGTTAAGTTAAAATAATTTTTGAGATGGAGTATTTAATAATGTTAATATTGCTGGAACTGTATAAAGAGAAGAACTTACAAATAATAAATAATCAAATTAATGTATAAATATTTTAGTCAAAATTCATTTATTTTCATTTCTTTATACAAAGTCAAATTATTGATATCATATTTTATAGTTAATAATTATTTTAATTTATCATCTCTGGTTATAAAAGTATCTTAAATAATTATTAAAAACTTGTAAATAAAAATATTAAATGTTCTTTAAATTATTATTAAGTGTTATTCTATTCAAATGAATAATTTTAAAATTTTAAACTTTTCTTTTTGATTATGATGCNTATATTATGCACTGTTATATTCCAACAAAATTCAATATGATTAATATTTCTTAGAATTTCAATAAATATTTAAATTAAGTCATAAATAAATAATTTTCATTTCACTTGTTTAATTGAATTAATATCAAAGATTAAAAAGTTATATATGGATAATTTATCCAAGAAATTTATGATAAATTTTATATGTTTAACTTTTTAACATTAATTTATATGCATTATAATATAGTATAATATTATAGTATAATATACTCACTGCCAAAAGCTAAGTACGGAACAATAAACGGCAAAAAAATTGACAAATACAGCTGTGATTGACACGAAATGTGGCAGGACAGTAGCAAATATGTTTATGCATGAAACAACACAAAGAATTAAATAGAAAAATGAGAACAATATTGAATTTTCATAAAGTATAAGATGAAATCATATTGGAAGATTCTCAATGGGATTGAGGTCTGGCGAATACGCCAGCCAATCCTTACGTGCGATTCCCTCACTCTCAAGGTAGTTATCGACGAGGGCAGCTCTATGGTGTCGTGCGTTATCATCCATTAAAATGAAAGCAGGATCAACTGCTGCAGCATACAATTTCACAATGGGTTTGAGGACTTCATCCCAATACCAGACAGCCGTCACAGAACCCCCTCGATAGATGTGCAGGTCGGTGCGATATCCCAACGAAATGCCTGCCCACACCATAATGCTTCCACCTCGGAATGCATGATGCTCGATGATGTTCTGGGGTCAATTGTGTGTGCCTTTTTCTTTCCATGCTCTTACACATTTGTCATCTGGCTCTAGGGAAAATCGCGACTCATCCGTGAACATAACATTGCCCCAATCATACATAGTGCAATTCACATGTTGTTGACACCACTTTAATCGTGTGCCTCTGGATTGGACGGATAGTGGAACACAAACTCGTGGTACCCAGGCGTACAGTCCATTCGTGTGTAGTCTTCGGCGCACAGTAGTAGTAGATATCATTTTACCAATGGCTGCTGCAACTATCGATGTCACACATGTAGAGATTGCTCTTTGATTCTGCTTGGCTACAACAGCAATATAGCGATCTTCTGCAGGGGTCGTAACTCTTGGGTGACTGGCCACAGGTCTTCAGACGATTGTTTGGCTTGTTTGGAATTGTTTCCATAACCATGAAATGACAAATGATGAACGCCAAAGAAAAGAGCAACATCTGTGATTGATTGTCCTGCTTCAAGGTGTCCCACACACCGTCAGCACTCATTGTCTGTCATTCGTCTTCTGGAAGTCATAGAAACACGTCAGTCATGCACACTAATTGTACAACAGTTCTCCACACTTTTTCCTGGCACTTACATGCAACTCCTCTCACACTTCAGAAGGCTGGCTTCTTATACGACTGCCTGTTTTGCATATTTCGCGACACATAACCATGATTGATAGTAATGTAACATATTTGCATACTTCCACCTACCTCTGCAGTGAATTGCAGCCTCTCAAATGCAGATTGCTTTCTGGACATTTTTAGCTCCATGCTTAACTTTTGGCAGTGAGTGTAGTATAATATGTATGAAATATATATTAATTTATTTTCTAATTAAACAATATTTAAAATAAATTTTTTATTTTAAATTGTTATTTAGATTGGATATGGAATCCCAGACAACCAGATCCTATTTATCTTGATATTTTAAAAATGTTCCAAGATAAAAAAGATTGTCCTTATTCAATTCATCAAATAGGTAAATATTACTTTCAATGAATTAATTTATAGAATCATTTAAAACATAAAATTACAATAAAATAATTACAGCACAAATGGGTGTGTCTGAAGGAAAGGGAATTGGTCAGTGGTTTGGTCCTAATACAATAGCTCAAGTTTTAAGGTAGATTAACAATATTAATGACGTTATTTTCAAATATATATCATAAAAATTATCTGTTCTAAACATTTTATATGTTAGCAATTAGTTAATATTATTCATCTTGAGATTTTTAGAGAGTTTTTTAATTTTTAATAGATTTAAACTTGCAGGAAACTTGCTACATATGATGAATGGAGTCATTTAGTTGTACATGTGGCTCTAGATAATGCTGTAATTACTGATGACTTAAGTAAGTTTGATATAATAATTTTAACAACATTTTATGATATACTGTACATTTTAAAATCGACTTTATTTTAAATGTAGAAACATTATGTAAGGTAAATCAAGAAAGTGAGTGTAAAAAGTATGAAGCAAATGAGAGTACTTCAATGCAAATTTCAAATAGTTGTTCTTTAGATGTCAATAGAAGTTCTGATCCAAATTGGAAGCCATTACTTCTATTTATACCTTTGAGATTAGGATTATCTGAAATTAATCCTGTCTACTTGAAAGCTCTTAAAGTAAATAAAAATTTTGTTCTATACTTTTACTATTTAATTAATTATATTGTAGAAATCTTACATATTAGTAAATAAACTGCTAATAATGTATAAATTTATTTATAAAAACTTTGTATTTAATTTTAAGTATTTTTTTCCTTTAGATAACATTTTGCCTAAAACAGTCTTTAGGAATTATTGGTGGAAAGCCAAATCATGCTTTATATTTTATTGGAGTTGTAGGTAAGAATAAGGAAACAAAAATTATAGATTTATAGTAAATTTATGTAATTTTATATATGATTTATTAATTAGATTAAAATTGTGTTAATTGCTTCTTTTGTTGTATGTGAGTAATACCACTAACTAATAAAATGTGGGAAATGAAGAGAAAAAATTAGAATGTACAGTTAGTTGTTTTACAAAATTTATACAGGAAAATATTTAAACTTCTAAAATATCTATAACCAACGATTTATATTTTGAGACATGACAATATTTATAGAAGAAAAAGAATAAATATTTTTATCTTGAAAACAATTCAATGAATTCTAATTATTAATTCTAGTAGCTATATTATGCACTGTTATATTCCAACAAAATTCAGATTATATAGTATAAGAAATACAAACTGTGATGAAATGTAATATGTTTATATAAGTATAATTAAAAATTATAGCTTTCATTATGCAACTTGAAGTCACTTGTCTTTCCATTTTCATCATAATTGCTTACACTTTATCACCAAGATACTACACTCTACATTGAAAATAAATCTTACAATAAAAAAACCAAATGCAGTTTTTTGTTTTGCTTGTTAACAGAAAATAATGTAGATAATTATATTATCACAATGCAAATTGTAACAAGAAGAAAAAACAAAATTTATTAAATTAACCAAAGAAACAAAAGGTAAACATTATAACAATGTAACAAAATGAATATAATACTCAGAAAATTTCTTTTAAAATGTTATAAAACTTGAAAAAAAATGCCAATGATTACTGAATTATCAAATGAAAACAAAAAATCCAACAATGAGTTGCATAACTTTCCTGGCCAAAAACTTTAAAATTGTGGTGATGTCATCTGTTATGATATTTTATTAAAAAACTTTTTATATTTATTAATTATTATAAAATGACAGAAAACTTAATTTTGAAGCTAGATATGAGTTTTTAAAAAATTGTTAATGCTAATAACAAGTAAAATCTTCATTAAGTCTGATTGCACTGGAGATATGACATGTGACCCCCCTTCTATCTCCCAACCCTTGACTTTTAAGCACCAAAATTTAATAACATCAATGCCCCCAATATTCAAACGCTGTGCAAAATTTCAGAAAATTTTGACAAAAGACACAGGAGTTATTAAGCTTCAGAGTGGGTAAACAAAATCATGCCCTCCCCATACACATACACTAACATCCATATATACAGAAAAAACTCCTGAATTTTTTTGAATTTTTCAACATTTCATGGTTCCGAGTCCAGAAATGTAAAAATCTTTGGAGTCATTTTTTGACCAATCACCATACTTTATATATAACAGCTGAGAAATTAAAAATTGTTCAAACTTGGCATGACTTCACTTCATTGCTTGAGGCATTTTCTCACAAAATCTGCCCAGTGGCATTTTCCACTTAACAGCACCATCAGGAACATATGGTGATAGTGTATGGAATCCAAATGTAGCTGTTTATCTCTCAAGAAGTATGGCATCTTTTGGTAGGAGCAATAGCTTCAATTTTGTAGCAGAAATCAGTACACTTTATAGTAGCTGAAGAATTGGTATATGAGCTTTTTGAGATTTCTTAGTCTGTATATGGGGAGGAAAACTCATACTAAGTCATATTGTTGATACAACATCTATGATGGTGAATGTTCTAATATCACTTGTGATAAACTCTGATTAGACCATTTTTGGCATTTTTACTTACACTTATTTTAATTTTTTTATATAGTAAGTTTATCTACAATTTATGATATTTCCATATAAATAATTATATTTTAGTTCATTTGTGGCATGGACCGGATTAACTGATCTTGCTGGCCTTAGTTTGGTAACCAGTGCAGATAGCAAGGTAGCCATAGAAGCTAGAGCATGATGATTATGAAGCAGGAAAAACAGAAAATAGCCCATATTATCCTTTCAGGAGTTGTAAGTAAATATCATGAAGATCAGAATTTCATTTCACCACCAATGCTCAATGTCTATGTGCATTGCTAATATATTGATTTTAGTTCAGTGAGGGTGTTTGTCTTAAGATGATGAGCCATTACCATTCATTAATGTACAATGCCAAAGATGGAAAGTAGCTCTTAGACCATTTTGACAAGAAAAGGTCAATCAATCTCTGTAATTGATTAACTTCTTTGAATCTCCATCTTTAGTATGATGTCATGAAATAAGAAATTTGCTATGTTGGCTGCTACAGCATATGAATATTGTGAAACATTCATATGACTATCTATATAACTAGAATTGTTTAGCTATAAGAACTATTAGTGTAATGGCTGAGGTAATCTATAATATAATGATGATGGTTTACTTGTTATCAGAATATGAAGTAGGAAATTGCCTCAGATGATACATTCCAATAGTGTTGAAAGATTCTTGTGGTGATAGAATCAGCACTGTCTTGCCTGAGGGACATGCTTATGAGATTAGCATTCTTGTCATTTTCGGACTTAATGTTTAATGTGTCACTCATTGTCATTCAATAATGATTTTGGGCTAAGCATTCATAAGTACAAGTAGGGATGTACCAATACCACAAAAGTATTGATACTGGCTGGTATTGGCATCAAGTATTGAAACTGGAAATCTTGCCAACTGTCACTGTTCAGTCTGTGGCTTGATTTTAAAATGCTTTGTGTAATTGAAACTTTTAATTTTAACATAAGTAACATGCTTTATTCTAGTTAGTTACTATTAACAAATTATTAAAACTGATTTCTAATATAAACTAAATGTTACCATTACTGTACCAGTTGATTTGAGATTTTAATATATTTTTGAGTTTTTCAAATAATCGACAAGTTATTTATAAACAGTAATCTGAACTCTAAGCATAGTGTATGTATATTCTGAAAATAAAATTTGATGTAATAAATTTATTGATTTTGGTCATTAATTTTACTATATAAGTTTAACTTAACCAAAAATAGTGTAAAATTGGTTTTGGTTTCAGCTAAAACTGATTTTAAAACAAAAATCTGATTTTGGTTTTGGATTTGGCTGCAAAATCCAATTTCGGTTGGATCTTACCTGTCTGAAAAATGTAATGATACCAGATCCAATATTTGAGGAAAAGTATTGGTATTGAACTAAAGTATTGAGTACAAAAAGTATTATGTTGAAGGAAAGTAATGATATGGTACCTGTATTGGCAGTATCAGGACGTCCCTAAGTACAAGCATATTCTAGGTGGCTAGGTTGGATCATCACAGTAAGCTTTGGGAATGGCACTTTGTAGAGATCATAGGATGACAAAATGCCAAGAAAATCCAGTGGGATGATAGCTGTGTCAGTATAATATTCTGTAAAAGATGTGAAAATGTTGAGATATAGCATTGGTGTGGCCTAGTAATTACATTAGGATTTTCATGTTCACTTGCTGATTATGCTGTTTATCTTTTGATTGTCTGAGCATTATTAAGCTAGGAGAGAGAAGATTTTGCATTAATATGTTTGTCACTTATTCACAGACTTGTGAATAAGGTTGATACTGTATTTTTAAAGAAATAGTTCCTAAGCATTTACTGGACAAGTTGATCTAAAGGATCTCATAAATTAGCCAGCCAGTATAGCATGATAATCTATAACAATTTGGAACAGACATCCATATAGATACAGCCGAAGTTTCTTAATAAATGATAAAGAATGAAAGAAACTTTTCCATAATGATAAGGAACTGTCCAGCAAGATACTTCATCATTGTGGAACAGTGTGTATCTATATTGTCAGGGTTTGAATGACAATGGTCATCTATCCTCAGGAACAGATGTATGTGTTTCTTCATAACAGAATTTAGTTCTGATAGTTGACACAGAATTGCCAATGTCCATTGCATTTTTTTTACTGAAATCAGTGGGGGTTACCAAGGACTTTTGGAATAACACACTTCAACATTTTGCTGACTTTTTATTTTTGATTCTCTAATCATCTAATAAAATTTTTACTGTTTGCTCAATGAGTGTTTTCCTGTCAAATCTGAAACCTCATTCTGACTGTAGCCTGCCTTCTTGAGGCATTGAAGTTTCATACTCTGAGAAAAGAACCAACAAATAATGATGACTGTTCAGATGTTAGATTGGTGCTGATCATTGGTTGAAGCAACTGTTGATTATTGGTTTATCTCTTTCAATAAATTTGTTTTCAGATTTTCATTTACTAATGCAATAATGGTAAATGTCTCCCAAATAAGTGCTGGAGAATAGCATTTGTAGTTTGGAATGATTGTTGGTGACCCAAACTTTAACTGTCAAACAGTGAAGCAAGAATGATCCTCTCTTTTTCCTCTTTTCTACATTAGGTGGCAGTATTCATCAGTTTCTCAATTGTTGAGAGTCACAGGCAATGGGTAGGGCAGTGGCTGTAAAAATCAGAAGTTGAGTGTCACACAGTTAATGCAGACATAATTGACAGAGATGATGATTCAGTTTAAAATGGACAAGTTGGTCCTTATGGTCTATTAGGGTCAGTTCTCTCTAGGAAATCATAGAGAGGAACATATTATGGTTATAATGTTCCCACATCAAAAATTTGATGGAGATGGTTAATGAATTGGCCTGACTTGGACAGTACACTGTCCAAGAATCTTCAATGGTGTTCTATCCACATTAGAAATGATTGGCAATATTGGAATTAGTGCCTTGCATAGTTTAACCTGTAGGATGTTATGCATTATTGAAATTTTTGATTTGGTGTCCACAAGGGCTTGAGTGTCATGCATAAATAGCAACAGAAATGAATCCATAATGTAAAGATGTGGTGGTGGCTGTGGAAGGGTTTTGGCAGTGTAAAGCCACTGTACCTCCTGAGGATGCTCTCTATGGTGATAGCAACTCTGGTTATTTCTTAATTTGTAAGTGATCAAAATTATGTTCTTCGCCTGAAGATGACATTGATAAAAATGTAGAAAGTGCTTATGTAGATTAGATAATAAAAACTGTTTAACACTGATAGACAGTAGTTATTTCTTGTTTTAATGGATAATATTTCGGCATGGTGATCTAATAGATGAACAGGTCATTAGACTATAGTTGCTATACAAGTTGCTACACAGAGTAAGAATGTATATTTGCCACACAGAGGCTCAATACTCTTCATAAGACTCCTTAGGTATTGGCAGTAGTCTAGTAGTAGACTTTGTGGTAATGTGGAGAATCATAGATAGAATGTTGTGATGCTGGAACTAGTTAACAATGTAGTATTTGTTTTGGCAGTAGGGTTGGACATATGTCCTGCTTGTCTTCAATTGAAGCAGATAGGAATTTGATCAAATATGTGTGCATTATATTCAGCCGGTCAATTTGTTGGTGTCTATGGCAGTCTTCTGGTGGTTCTATTCTCTATTAGCAAGGCATACTGAAGCTGTTACTATCTGTTACAGTCATCAGGAAAGACATTCTGCTTTAGTTTTACAGTTTCTCATAGGTTATCTCTCAGATCAACTTCACTACGTCATCACTTAGGCTCACTACAGTTACATTCGGAAGTTGTGGAAAGTTCTAGTTCAGCTCACTTGAAAACACTTGAAATTTTTAATCTGGCAGCAAGTCAATACAAATTTGACTGTAGTAGAAACATCAAATGCACTAATTGCATTTGATGACGTTAGAACAACAACAAGTTTTCTAACTTCTTGTTGTTGGGCATATTTTGATCAACTACTTGTAAAAAGTAAAGGTGATAATTGATGTAGGTATAATCCACTAGCATCAATTGCCTACTGAGCTCAGGTTTCCAAGCAAAGTCTTCCATTGTGTATTCTCTCTTGACAGGTCCTGAAAGCATCATAGAAAATGCTATGGAATGTTACGAGGCGTGTCCGGAAAGTAAGTACTGTTTTGTTCTACTGCCATTACAGTGGTAGTATCGCAGTTCAGCACCTGTGCACACATCTCTCTGGTTGATTGTCAATCCAGTGATGCCATTACAGCCAGATTGTGTTGTTTTTCCACGTGTTAGTGAGCGTTCAAAATGTTTAAGACTATTGCTGATCCCACTGACTGTGAAATGCATTCTGTAATACGATGTTTTGAATGCAAAGAATGTTAAGCTAGTTGAAATTCATTGTCAACTTGTAGAGATTTATGGTGAAAATGTAATGAGTGATGGAATGGTTAGAAAGTGGGTTCGACAATTCAATGCTGAACACACTGATGTTCATGACGAAGCATGGAGTGGCTTGCCTTCTGTTGTCAATGATGGTTTGGTTGCAAAAGTGAATGAAAAAATTCCTGAAAACAGACGGTTCATAATAAGATTGCTTTGTGATGAGTTTCCACAAATTTCAAATACTGTTTTGCATGAGATTGTTGCAACAACCGATGTTCAGCAGTGGCTGTCTTTACTGGCGGCATCTTTCTTTGAAGAGGATATAGACAAGTTGGTGTCCCGATACGACAAATGTCTGAACAATGGTGGTAACTATGTAGAAAAATAGTTTCAGACATGCTCTTTCATGTAAAAATAAATTTTGTTTTGAAAAAATATTTTTTATGCGAGTTTTTCCAAACCAGTACTTACTTTCCGGACATGCCTCGTATTTAGTTGCTGATCATTGGTAAATCACAATAATGTAAAGTTTTTTCCTCTAGGAAGAAGAAGTAGACACTTTCTCATTTATCTTGTTGTTTCATTTATCATATTGGGCAACACTCTTGTATTTTTTTAACCAATGACAAACAACTTTATTCCTTTAACTTTTGAAGATGTAGGATTTTTGACAGGATTGTAGAATGTTTATAGTGGCTCAAATGGCCAATGTTGGCAAGTTATGGTCTCTGATCTTCATTCATTATGAAGATCAAAACATCACATCTAGTAGATATCTATGCTTTATTCACTTGAAACAGTTCTACACCTCTTCAGTTTACGAAGAAGTAAATTTTATTTCAGAAAAAGAAAATTCACTTTCAGAAAATATAAAATCATTTTCAGAAAAAGTAAATTGATTTTAAGATAACATTAAGTTAACATCAATTTAAGTCAATTTTAAGCAATGATAATTTTTGAATGGTAATTATATTATTAGCTAATGTATCTGATTTCAATTGAATTAATGCTGTATTAAATTATTATAAATAAATTGTGAAATTATCAGATAAAAATTAACTGTAACATATGTATATATAAGTAATGTAACATACCAAAAGTACCAAAAAAAAAAAACAAATCAAACAAATGAACATTGCACAAAATTATATTATATTTAATTACAAGAAAACTTAATTCTTAGGAATGACATTTGTTGTAATTAAATATAAGAAATATAATACTATACACTAGAATGATGCTTCCTATTGCCTCAATACATTGCTGGATCATCTCTTGCTAACACAACTGTTTAGCATGAACTGGTGAAAGGTATATCTTTCACCAGTTCATGCTAAACTGACAATGGTACATTTCTCTATTCTTCCTATAGTATGTTCAGCAGTTTATGGAATGATTTAAATAAATAATTTTGGCTTAACTCATCCTCAGATGTTCAAAAGAATTGAGATTGGCACTTTGAGTTGGCAGTTAAATATTGTTCTTTTCAGACCAAGCCAGGATGGTGACTGCAATATAACAATATACTGAAAGTATCAATCCTTGTCTCTACAATAGTCAATGTGGGAGAATTTCACTGTTTAGGTAATAATAAACATATATTAAGGTTACCATGAATGATAATGGGCTTTCACCACTACCTATTGAAACAAGATTACTCTAATAGCACCATACTTGATAGGCCACTTTTTTGACATTTAACAATAATGCTTTGTTCAAATTCAGACAGCTCTTGCAGCATTTCACAGCCTACTTATATGCATCTACCTGGGATGTTCTACTTACTGTCCACAAATGGGTTGACAATTAGAACAGTGCATTCTATTGTTTAAACAATATCCAACTACTTTTTGGTGAACAATTTATTTTCATCAATAATTTGTTAGATTAATAATTTTAAAAACTTATGATAAATACAATTATAACAATAAATTATTATTTCAAATTATCATAATCTTACAATATTGTTATTAGTAAAGGTGTAAGGAATTTAACAATAAATATTTAAAATCATTTGATAATGATAATGTCTCCTACAGTTTAACTTAAAAGCATGTTTATATTTTCAAACAGGTAATGAAGTAGTATATTTAGATCCTCATACTACACAGCAAGCAATAGATACTTCCTTAGAAATACCTAATGACAGTAGTTATCATTGTCCATATGGCAATAGTCGAAGAATGAATTTGAATCAAATGGATCCATCGGTGGCATTGGTAAATTATTTTATTTATTTTAATTATTTTATTTTATTTATATTAAACTTTATAAGAAAAAAGTAAAATATTTTACATATTTTGAATTTTGTATATTATAAATAAATAAATATACAAAATTACCAGCTTTTAAATACTCCAGCAAATAATTTAATATTGTAAAATGTTTTCGATTGTCTTTAATGATCTTCATCAGTTAAACATTAAAATAAAAAGAACATTAAAGAAATAGAACAAAAATTAAAATTACGAAAAATAATAAGTGCGCATGCATTTTGTAATGTTGTGCGTTTACGGAAATAAATACAAAAAAGAATAGGAATATAAGAATATAAAAAGCTCAACAGTTTCGCATTAAAAAAGAAATTAACATCTCCTAAANCAGATAAAACAATTTACCACAACAGACCAGACATCACACTCATTGACAAACACAATAAAATCACATACATTATAGACATAGCCATTCCAAACACTCACAGTGTACAAAACACATGCATTGAAAAAATTAGCAAGTATACAGAACTCGCCCAGGAAATAAGGCATCTGTCGAGGATGGAAAGGGTGCTTATTGTACCCGTTGTTCTCTCCTGTTCAGATGTGATACCACACACACTACACAAAAGCCTGGGAACATTACAATTGAATAGAAGTACATACATCACACTACACAAAAGCCTGGGAACATTACAATTGAATAGAAATACATACATCACACTACAGAAGGCCACTATATTGAATACATGCCATATTGTTAGGAAATTCCCAAATACTGACACTGACACATTTATTTAATTTTAGTTTTGTTTTGGTTGCTATGCCTTGATTTTGGTCCGGCATAGTACACAGCCACCAGTGTGAACTGAGTATAACTCACAAAACCCAACATAATAATAAGTTATATAGGTTAATAGGCATTACGTAATTTTATTAATAGTATCATATGTTTTTGAGGGAAATAACATTTTGCTGTGCATTGAGACATGTAGCGTCATCGGTGTGTCGCAAGTAGAAAAAGGTTGTGGAACACTGGCCTAGATAACACAACCTTATCATACTCATCTTCACTTGCCTAATGTCAAATCAGTATTGTATTCCTGTCAGCAAATACAACTGCATTTATTCAACCATTGGACCAAGACATTATTTGAATCTTTGGTTTTTTACTCATTTATGACTTATGGTACAAATTTTGACACCCATTGGAAAAAAACTTATAGTCTTATTGTAAATAAAGATTTGGTTTACATGCATCTTGGTTTCACATTAATTTGTAAGTACTTTATGCACAGTAAATAACTTGTAATATAAGTTACCTTACTTTTAATTTTGAAAAACTGTTGTAGACTAACAGCTGACCTTCCTACTGAGTACACCTATAGGTCTACCTTTTGGGTTCTCCAAGTATATACTTATAGAAAGGTTTTACTGTATTATGCATTTATTACATGGGTAGGCTGAAAAGTAATGCACACATGCTTGTAGAACACTAACAAAAACAAATAGCAAGATCGGGCAAAAAGTACATTAAAGGACAATTCTTAAGCTTCAAAATCATATATTTATTTTTCAACATAGTCACCGTTAAGGCTAACACATTTCTCCCAACGTGTAACAAGTTTTTTCATTCCATCACTGAAAAATTCTTCCGACTTTTCTCGAATCCAGGACTTGACAGCTGCCTTCACCTCATCATTTGAGGTGTAATGATCACCCTTGAGGTCTCTCTTGAGTAGAGGAAAAAAATAAAAATCACAAGGCACAAGATCGGGGGAATAAGGAGGGTATGGAATCGGTTCAAACTTCAGGTTTCGCAGGTCCTCTGCAGTTGCACGTGAGGTGTGTGGACGAGCGTTGTCATGTTGCAAGATTATTGGTGCCAGGCTGCCTCTAACATGACAAACTCAACATCGGAGGTGTTTTAGAGTCTGTATGTACTGAGAAGAATTAAACATTGCAACGAGGGGCAATGGTAATTGTCTGTGGCAGTGATCGGATGTCCGCTGCGTGTTTCGTCAACAATTATGGCTTTTCCAGGCTCGCAACCACGAAATTTTATTATCCATCAATTTACAGTAGACCTATCAACAGCATTGTCATCATAAACAGCCTTTAAACGATGATGAATCTCAGTAGGAGTCACTTTTTCAGCAGTTAAAAATTCGATAACAGCACGCTGTTTAAGTCGTGTTGACATAGCACTAGAACATGTCTCCATATTTCCACTTCTCAAAGTATACTGAATGAACACAACAACCTCAAACTGCACATGCACATAGAGGGGAAATGTTACTTCCATACTGCCACCTGGCACGCTTCTGAAAATCATTTCGTTTGTGCTCTACAAGCATGTGTGCATTACTTTTCAGCCTACCCTCGTATTATGGAAGAAGAATATGTCTTATAATCATAAACTTTTTAAAAGCATTAATTTTTATGTCTATATATTTGTCATAGTTGTCTTAATCTAGTAGTAGTCATGTGAATTTTAAAATATTATTAATTTATTTGTTCTCTATTTTGCAATATAGTCTGTTCCAACACTCACAAGAGGTACATTTCAGGATTTCTTCCATAAATTAAATTTTATATAGCTTGGGAATAATTAGTAATACAGGGTGTCCCAAAAGTTTTCATACAGTGACACAAATCAAGCCCACCAGTGGCTGAATAAATAAAACCATTGAACACTGGTAGTTGGTCATTGGTTCGTGCCTGATCAATGGGCTGGCCACCATGCAGTGTTCTGGGTTTTCTTCATGTGTCTAACACCTAAATGGAATCCAGTTTCCACATAGGAAGTCCTGCTAAAAGTTACCCCATTGACAGATCATCCTTGCGTTCTGTTGCCTTACTCTGTCAATCCACTGACACAAGTCTTAATGCTGACATTTTAATGTTTGGTGAATAAAGTTACATTTCACCTTTTTATGTATGGAAACTTTTGGGACACCCTGTATATTGGTACTATTCTCTGATATGCCAAAATTATAAAAATTAGACAATGTCTTCAGAGGAAAGAAGAAAAATAATTATATATTATAAAAATTAAAAATCTTATTTTGAGATGATAATGAACTGGCCAAAGTGGTACATGAGAAAAGAAAAAAACATTGTTAATGTTTAACCATTTTTATGTATGTTTATTATTATAATTTTATGATCCAAGTCAGTTACATTATCATAAAATTATACAGAAAGTATCTTTACAATTGTACCAAACAATATCCAACCTTGAAACTATTTACAAGCTTATATAAGTTAGGAACTAACTGTACTGTATCTGAAATTTACAGATATTTTGATACTGTAATGTTTGCCATATACAGGCATAATTCAATTTAGTGGAATAATGCTACCAAATTAAATTCTTAGATATGAAAACAAATTGATATTTTCTTATATTTAAGAAGATATTTTGATTGTTGCTCAATACATCTCACACCTCTTTATATATTTTAATCAATCAAAATAGAAATGTAATTACCAATTTATAAAGATTGTGTGTTCTTAAACACTAATTTTTAATGTTATTCTATTTTAATAAAAATAATTTTCAGTCAAAAGTTAATAGTATGCAATTCAATAAATTGAATCAGATTGTTATTACACAGATGTTAAAAATATAGACTTGTAATTAAAATGCACAATATCAGAAATATTAATAATAATGAAATATCAAAAATACAGATAATTTTTATTGATATATCATCAATTAATGATAAAGTAGATTTTAACAAAGGTAATTGAAATACAGTATATCAGTTCTGATTAGTATAAAAATGCAGAACAAGATAATTGTAATGAACATTTTAATTTTTTTATCTTTGATTGTTTTTTTCTTTTTTGCTAAAATATATATTATGTATTTTTAAAATATTTTATTTATTGTAAATTTAAAAAATTAAACAATATTTTATAAATGGAAATATTAAATTCTTATTATTAAATTTTTATTAAATCCTGTGCAACTCCTTTTAATATGCAATTTGTTACTCCAGGATAACCTTTTGACTGAAAATTTTTTATCATTCAAATGATTCAAAGGTCAAATTATCTCTTAATTTTGTTAAGTGAATTTTTAATAAAAAATAATCATTTAACAGAATTAGGAGATATTTATTTTACATACTAATATTAGCATAATGAATCCATTTCTACAGTTTAAATTTGCATATAAATTTTCCAACATTATAGTTAAGTGATTTTTCTTAAAACTATATGCTTGTTATCAAAACTATGTAGAAATTATCACTTGTCAATTAAACTCAAATTTGAACTGTTAATATATGGTTCAATGAGATGGAATGTCATAAACATTGAAGTCAATCATTTCCACTCAAGGTAATAGTCAAGATTAGTAGTTCCCAAACTATGACTCCTGGATAAAATCTGACCTGTGGTATGTTAATCCAGTCAACAAACATATTTGGCACATCACTTAAAAATGATAGAAATGGGTCTGCTTTTTGTATATGTAGAGTATACAAAATATTCATCTACATGGTTTGTTCATCTACATTGACTTGTGTGCAAGATGGCAAGATATGGCAAGATTCTAACAATGGTTAAGGAAGTCAGCAGAATATCTCATAGTGATACCTGTCTTGACTGAATAGAAAGATACTATAGGGAAATTGGTCAGACAATTCTCTCTAGAGTCTTCTTCAGCCACTGAGGCAAATGTTTTAAAACAAAGTACAGTATATATATTGAATACTTAGGTCTTCCATGCAAAAAAAAACTGCCAAGTTTTGTATTCTCTTTTACTCGTCTCACAGATTAACTTACTTGAATTGGTGCAGACACTATTATTCCAGAAGCTAAGAGTAAATGTATGCAGTTCACATATGATATTTTAAAGAACTGGTTCTCAGCTGGAAGAACAAGGAACCAGCTGCAAATCAATCCTTGATTGTTCTCTCTCTAGATTCAGAAAAAGAAATTTTTTTGGTGGTGATTAATTTGGGCATCATCTTATTAAATTGGTAAATATCACT